CCCCCCCCACCGCCCGCAGCTCCGGGCCTTAGCCCCCGCCCCACCCCCCCCACCGCCCGCACCCCCGGCCCTAGCCCCCAGCCCCCTCCACCCGCCCTAGTCCCGCGGCCCCGGTCTCTGCCCTGCGTCCCAGGACCTAGCCTCCGACCCATCTCGGCGCCCCCAGGACCGTCGACCCGCCCCGGCCCAGCGCCCGCGGCCCGCTCCACCCGCCCCAGTCCTGAGCCCTCGGCTCCTGCCCTGCGGTCCCCGCCCCTCCCAAAGGCCTGCGCCCCCGGCCCTCAGCCCCCGGGTCCCCGGCCGGCCGCCGCCTCCTCACCTTCCCCGGGACAGTCCGGCCGGCGACACCACAGCGTTCCCAAGTACTGCTATTTCCAGAAGAAAAACAAAAGGGGCAAAACACCTTTGGAGCCTCCTCAGACCAGGGCACCGGCACCGAAACGAGGAGACACTCCCTCAGGCCCCGGCCCCTTCGCCCGCCCCCCGCCCCTGTCCCCGCGGGGCGCAAACCCCCACCTCGCCCGCCAGCCTTGCGCGAGGAGCCAGCGCTGACCTGTGACCCCTCCCGTCGCCGGGGAAGATGGCGCCACGGCGCGGAGGCGGGGCCGGGTGACGCGCGCCTGGCCCCGCCCCGGGAAGCCCCGCCCCGCCTCTCGGAGAGCCCACTCGCCGGTGTGCGCACGCGCGCCGGAAAAGGAGGCGGGCTTGGTAAAGGACGCGGGGCGGGGGGGTGTCCCTGGCGACCAACTTACCACGGCACGGCCGTATGTGATAAAACGCGAATTTGGCCAAACGTACCGAGGCAACGAAATGGGCACCCACCAGGTCCTCCCAGAAAATAGTGCAGAGGTCAGGATTCCGGCCTAATCGCAGAAAAAGCAAATTTCCCCAAAGCACAGCTACAGTGACTGCAGGGGTCTGCAAGACCAGAGGCTCGTTCACAACATTCAGCTGAGGCTGAACACAGTTCCGTGTTTACACGCACGTACCTTAAAGACATCTCGGTTTTTATTTTTTAAAGATTCCTTTTGAGAAAGTGCAAGCAGAAGGAGACAAAATCCCAAGCAGGCTGCACACTCAGCGCAGATCCCCACCAGTGGCTGGATCCCAGGATCCCAAGATCATGACCTGAACACAAGTCAGGCACTCAACCAACTGGGGCTACCCAGGATCCCCAAAGAAAGACATTTTAAAACTACTTTTGCTTTATTTTTTTAAATATTTGTTTTGAGAGATAGAGTGTGAGCAAGGGAGGGCAGAGAGAGGGAGACAGAATCCAAAGCAGTCTCCAGGCTGAGCTAGCTGTCAGCCCAGAGCCCGTTGCGGGGCTGGAACCCACAAACCGTGAGATCATGACCTGAACCGAAGTCGGCTGCTTAACCGACTGAACCATCCAGGTGCCCCTAGGTTTTTTAAGATAAATGTACTACAACCCCCACCCCCAAGTAGTAAATTAAGAGATTTTAAAGAAAAATTTAAGACATCATATGGCCTTTAAAATTTTTTTTTATTTGTAGGCTCTGCGCTCTCAGACAAGCCCAATGTGGGGCTGGAACCCATGAGCCAGATCATGACCTGTGCCTATTAACTAAGTGAGCCACCCAGACGCCCTCACACGGCCTTTATATACAGCAATAAGTGAAGTTATTATCACGATCTTCACCTCCGTGTCAGGTAGTGTGCACAGGTGCAGAAGGAACTTGGCAAATTTTGTTTAAATTTCTACCCACCCTTTTTTTAAGGATACTTTCTCAAGCATGGTTTGTGAATGTCTATTTCCTTTTTAAAAAAATTTTTAAATGTTTTAAGTCTATTTCCTTTAAAAATCTATTTCACTATCTAACCATGTTCCATAAAGGAGGGCTAAAGTAGGAGAATGGAGGGAGTCCACCATAATTATCCTCGGTGTTTTCATCCAGACTTTGAAGGCTTTACTCTGTTAAGTCATCAATTTTTGGAACTCTATGGAAACTTCTGGGCATGTGTATGTATTTTTCTGGTGGGTTATAATTTTGTTATGCTATCAGTAAAAGTTGACACATTTAGCGTGTGGATGGGTTGTAGAAGAGAACAAACCACAAACAGAATATTTATACATTTATTTATAATGAAATTATGGTCTAAATATTTACAACATATAGGAAACCAGAGAATATGTTTATACAAAGCCAGCCTGCAAAGTATTCAAATGTGCAAAAATGACAGTTCAGTATCTCAAACTACTCCTGGTTCAGCAGACTAGCTCCTTCTTTCACACATTAAGAGTTGATACAAAAAAAGTTCTTTTGGCAAAACCTGTAATGCCAAGAAAAAGGACAAGTTGCGATTTCAGTCCTTAAGTCCGCCATCCATCCTACGGAGCCGTCAAATCTCTCTACTTTAGCTGCAACCGGTTCTGAGAGACAGACCACTGTGTTTCATTTCTGTGAGGAATTCTGACCAGCTTTTGATCAAGCAGTTTTCTGTGACCCAGCTGAAGACATGGAGCTTAGAAGGGCAAGAAAACCAGCAATGGCTTTCTGAGGCGAGTGCCTGAAGGTGCCAGCTTTGGATCATCCCAATAAAAAGACACACGGAAGATAAAAAAAAAAAAAAAAAACAAACCTCCATCTTCCTACTCAGGACCCAGCTATATCCAACAGTTTTAGATTAGTAAAACTGAAGATTCCAAAAACAGAAAAGAATGCAAAAACGAAACAGGGATGCACTGTTCTGAGATTTAAAGGTGCTGAAAGGAAAGGATGGTCTTAAAATCACTTCCCCACTAATAAATAGTAAGGCTTTGTTTGTACCCAGTTGTTATCAAAATTGACCAAATAGTAGTAAAATACAAATAAAACTTTCTCTTCGTCAGAAGAGGGGCCACTGGTGTGGAAAAGGCTGGACCAGGTCAAATGTGGATGGGAATGACCCTGTTGGGATGCTCTGTTGAACAAGCACGTTTCACCAACTGTTAAAAAGCTTCTGAGACACACTTGTGGATTCTAAGGAAATTTTAACAGATGCTACGCCACTGCAGAAACGGGGATGTTGTAACAAGGACGAAACACCTTTGAGGAAGGACACGCTGCATCCCTAACTTCTGCAAAGGTCCAAGATGGTTCCCAGTACAGGCCCCAGAGTCTTATTAAATCAAACGCATGCATTATTGCTAAAGAGAGTCACCGAGGGTCAAATCTCTGCTCCGCTGCTTCCTACGGGGCCATCCAGAACGGCATCTGTTGTTTCGCTCGTGGCTGTGACGAAGGGTACTGATAGCCCAAACTCCAGCCCTGTGGGAAGCTACCTGCATTTTTATGGCCCCCGTGTTCCTCCTCTTCATCAGATGAATCTGCAGCATAAGCCACCAACCCAAATCCCTTCTCTGTAGTTTTCATCTTCTTGACTGGATAATCTAGAATAGAGAAAACAACCCCAGCCCCATTCCCCACCAAGACAAAAAAAAAAAAGATAATACCATAAATTCGTTAATAAAAAAAAGATGTTAATTGTAATTGGTTAGTTGGACACCATTTTGAGGTCACAGGGTCAATGGTCACCCAAAAACGTTGAAGATCACACGAAAAACAGCACCAGCATCAGCAAATGTGAGTCCACCAGAACCATGTAAGAAAACAGAGAAAGAAAAAAGAAACAAAAAAAAAAAAAGAAAAAAAAAGAAAAAAGAAAAAAAGGAAAGTTAGCAAGTGAGTCTCTGGAAGCTGATATTTCACCTTTTAAAGAGTTCAAAAAAAAGGAGTTAAGAAAAGAAAAAAAAAAAATTTTCTTTTGGTCACTTTTATTACCACTACAGGCAGAGAACACGAGTGGCCCACATTCCTCTACACATCTTGAGTTCTGGGATACTAAGAGGCAGTATTTTTTTTAATAGCCACAGGCTGACCATTCACAATAAGAGTTACGCGGGGAGATGTAGCTCAGCTCCCAATACAAAGAAACATCGATCTTTTTAAAAAGTAGGCTCTGTGCCCAAATGGGGCTCGAACTCAGGACCCCAGGGTCAAGAGTCACAGGGTCCACTAGCTGAGCCAGGCAAGTGCCCTGAAATGCCCGTCCTCAAGTCTGCATCAGACTACCTCCAGGTATTCGGACAACAAAGGCAACAAAATTTTGAAATGACCTACCAATCATCAGTATTTCCTAGGGCTTTCATGATGCTATGCATAAAATGTTAAGTTGACTAACTCTTTTCTAGACCCACGTCAGTTGGAAATTAAGCCCATGTAACTATTGTGTTGTCCATATAAATAAAAGCAAGTATTCTCATTAGCCTGTAGATTTTAGAAGTTGGATTAAACACCTGAATGAGTGCCATCTGAATGAACATCAGGTCAGAAAACTAAGAGCTTAGGACCAGTCTTAGCCGCCCGCGTGTCCCCAGCTACACCTCACTCACCGTGGCCCCCTGCTCCGGCCCCAGACCCATTCCTGTCATCCGACTCTGCTTTCATTCCAGTCACTGGAAAGGCTGGTGGAGGCATCAACTGCCTGTTAGGAGAAAAAATGTGACGGCCTTTCAGACAGATTCAATCCACCATAACCTGTCCGGCGGACACGAAGCAAGTAACCCTGCATTTCTATCCCTTCCGCCTGACCCCACCCTTCAAGCTGTTATCAAGTTGTCAGATTTTAAGGCGCGTCCACACAGCCAGGCTGGACCGGGCCAAAACGGGAATGCACTGTTGGGAGAAGTCAGGCTCATCTATCGAAGGCTCAAAGGGTCGTGAGGAGAGTTCAAGCCCTGGAGAGCAAGGCCAGACCTCCACTCAAATACCTCGGTCCACCACGTTCTAGGATTCCAAGTAGCAAACATGGCTTGTATCACACTTCTGTCCCTGCCTACGCTTAGGAAAACGACCAAGACACAGACAGTGAAGGTAAAGGAAGAAGCCTGAATGAGCAAGAACTGAATTATTCAAAGCTGAGTACAAAGGCCCTGGAGACTGGGAGGCGCATCGTATTCTCCATTAGCGTATCCGTTACGAAGAACAGAAGCATATTTGAGCCAATGGATCTTGTTACAGTCTAGAACACGAAAGCCCACAGCAACCATCAAGCTCACTAGTGGTGCACACAAATGACATCTTTATACAGTCACGTAATTCCGCTCCAAATGACTTACCTGTCCCTCTCTCGCTCTTTGCCTGAGGAACTTGCCGGCTTCGATCCTGCACCTTCAATGTCATTCTGACTGGAGAAGCCTGTACCTAAATTAGTCATATGAATGGGTCCATGCTATGAGCAGAAAAATACAGTGGCATTAGCAAATCTACAACTGCTGTACGGACTTTAGCTCCTTAATGTAACTGTCAAGTGCCTCGTCTTTCTGGTCAACTGCAGTAATCTGCACTACATAGCTCTCTGGGATTGGGGGCGAGGGGGCACCGCCAAAGCAGAGATTACTCTTCTCGACGGAGGCCCTGCTCGGGGACGTCATGATTGATTATGCTACCTGCATCTGTTTTCAACTCTCAATCTAGAACTATAAAACTGTGTGTTTCAAAGAAGGCTTCAAGGACTCTGGCAAAATGTGAAGGTGCTTCTCCTGATGAAACAAAACTACACCAA